ATCCTTCTCGACAAGGAGAAGTTCGCTCGCCTCCATTTGACAGTTTCCTAAAACAAAATTTTATAAAGTGCGAGAAGCTTGACGCAGCTGAACACCCTTCACGACCAAGTGACGTCACTCGCGCGTACGCATGAAATCAATACGCAAGCGGTCTATTCAGCCTTCCTCTTCTCCAAGACCGGCAGCATTCTGGAATCTGTGAGGGCGAGGTTGAGGATACTGTGATCTGGCAGGTAACTGACGATTTTATCAAACGCTTGCCAATATTGGTCTCTTACTACTGCCAAGTGACTCTGAGGCTTGTCCGCCTGATCGTTGTCGGGAGAGTCATTGCACGCGTTGCCTGTGTAGTCAGAAGAAGTGGAGACAACATCCAAACACTGAACTTGTATTTCTCGAAGGCCTAGCGCAGCGAGATAGGCGAGAAATGATTTCTCGCGAATTTTTTTTGGTTGCAAATATGGCATCTGGTGTGTTCTTTACTGTCGCTTCTTTTTCTGACTTCTTCAGTCAGTTTTGAGTCTCACCAGTGTCCCTGCCCTCCCAAACTTCATTTCTGTGCATATTATCATTGCTTTTTTATCACTTTTTGCCGTGATGTGCTTGCCATGCCTACATGATGCTTAATCGCCATTAGGGATATACACCCGGTTTTTTTCCCTCACAACTGCGTCCGTCGCCCGAGGGTTTTTTCCCGGCTGGCTCGGTCCAGGAAAATTAATCTGACGGTCCCAAGTGGTTCTGCATCATGGCCTATTCCTGCTATCCACTGGCACGACTATTCTATCTGAGACACTCTGTTCTCAGTCCTTGCTTCTATACCTCACTCGTTATCCGGTTCACATCTGGCTGCGGCCAACTACCCTTCACTTTGTGTGTTGTCGCTACTGCTGTCTATGTCTCTGTGTGTGCCAGTATATGTGGAGCGAGAACAGATGGAGTATTGTGGCCCTGTTTCTCTCTAGATGCAGCCATATTTACTAAAGTAAAGAACAACAATAACTCGGGAGAATGAAGTTGAAGACACCACTGCAGCTGTACTTATGGTTGATAAATATGGTGGTAAAGACACACCTGGCAATATGGCGGTAAACACACGCCTGCCCACACACGCTCTCTAGGCAGCAAAGTTCTGGCACAGAGCTCTCCTTCTCACCACTACCACCATCAGTTCGCGCCTGGCGGTATCCGGCATAGCAGGCTGGTACATCAAGTAGCGCATGGCATATAGATGATGACACAGCAACGACATAGCTCGATTGCGACGTACGTTTCGTCCCCGCTGGACTCATCAGGCAATCTTCTTCTTGGATGTCTTCATACAGAGCTTGACTCGGGAGAATGAAGTTGAAGACACCACTGCAGCTGTACTTATGGTTGATAAATATGGTGGTAAAGACACACCTGGCAATATGGCGGTAAACACACGCCTGCCCACACACGCTCTCTAGGCTGCAACGTTCTGGCACAGAGCTCTCCTTCTCACCACCACCACGCTGTACCAGCCTGCTATGCCGGATACCGCCAGCCATGCATCGACCAGGCGCCAGGCGCGAACTGATGGTGGTGGTGGTTAGAAGGAGAGCTCTGTGCCAGAGCTTTGCAGCCTAGAGAGCGTGTGTGGGCAGGCGTGTGTTTACCGCCATATTACCAGGTGTGTCTTTACCACCATATTTATCAACCATAAGTACAGCTGCAGTGGTGTCTTCAACTTCATTCTCCCGAGTCAAGCTCCGTATGAAGACATCCAAGAAGAAGATCATGCCTGCCCAGGCGCGAACTGATGGTGGTGGTGGTGAGAAGGAGAGCTCTGTGCCAGAACTTTGCAGCCTAGAGAGCGTGTGTGGGCAGGCGTGTGTTTACCGCCATATTGCCAGGTGTGTCTTTACCACCATATTTATCAACAAGAATAACTGCACGATAAACACTCTGATCTCTCCTGAACCTGGTGAAAAGTGAACCTGGTGAAAAGTGAACCTGGTGAAAAGTGAACCTGGTGAAAAGTGAACCTGGTGAAAAGTGAACCTGGTGAAAAGTGAACCTGGTGAAAAGTGAACCTGGTGAAAAGTGAACCTGGTGAAAAGTGAACCTGGTGAAAAGTGAACCTGGTGAAAAGTGAACCTGGTGAAAAGTGAACCTGGATTTCACAAGCATGCACCTATAGTACTACATGCAGAGCTGGGACAATATTAATAATAATAACTCGTTTCCATATGTCCTTTTCCTTTCTAATAATAAAACAGGTCGCGTAATGAAGCAGCATAACGATAGATGTGCAAAGTCATGATGCCTGGTCAGCTTCTGTCCTGGGTTCACTACCCCGTGCGTTGCAGCCGCAAGCAAAACCAGCTCAGGCTGAGAGTTCTCTCCATGATTGCTTGGGACAGTTGGGACAGCAGTAGGGACAGCACATTGTGAAAATCAAAGGCCACGGATACTGATTGTGTACATGTATGCATAGCTCTCTCGCGGAGGTAAAGCTGCTTCTGTCAGTACGTGACTATTACAGCATTATTAGCTTGGGACAGCATGATTGGTGCTTACGTGAATTCGGGTAACTAGCTGCTCGTGCGGGTTGCACATAAAATGCGGCCTGCTGTGTAGGATCAAGAGGACTTCCTTCCCCTGGAGCAATGATGGCATGTCCAAATTAACGTCGTTTTCCAAATTAAATGTACTAAAACTGCATTTAGAACCGGTTAACCTAGTTGCAATAAACCAACCTTCCCAAAAATATCATTGAAAATCCTAAAAATATTGACCGGGAGCTTTCATCTGGTCAAGTACCTGTCACGGCGCGATTAGACTGGGCCTGGGCTTGGGGACTTGTTGTACACAAGCATGGGTCAAAACCTTCAAAACTATAATTATTACTATCTCTTAATTTGCTGGGCAAAAGTCCTATATATAGGATTTGAAAATGCGTGACCTTTATGCCGTTGTTATTGGTCATCATGAGTCATTCATGACCCATAATAAGAGCATAATGGTTTTATTAGAAGCTGTAAATATGTTTGAGGCACGGATGTTTACTTTTTAGGTTCATAGGACATCATGAATACCCATTTTGAGCAAGGATTGGAAATTTGAGCAGCATTGTTCAGCTGGTGTCATGGGAAGGACTGAAGCAGTGAATGTGCAAAAGAACATTACAGGTGTGGCACGGGGTGGTTTCATGACGACATATCGCACATGCCGTCGTGAAACTACCAATTTTAAGGATAAAACAAGGTCCAGTAAAATCTCAAATCCTATATATAGGATTCAAAAAATAGGGCACAGGCCTTAGAAATATTCCGCAAGGAGATGAGCCTTATAAGCTTAGATGTTAGTATTTGAAAAAAGTATCTTATTCAACTCTCCATATCGACTAAGACCTAAAGCGGAAGAATTGGTCACATACGTTTCCCTATGCTCATGCCACACCCATTTTGAGTTGAAAAATATGACCAAAATCCTATATATAGGATTTAGCAAATAGGCGCTGTTCACACAAGGCATTACGTCATGTTTTGGGCCTTGAAAAACCCCGGGAAAGCGTTTTGGGTGGCAGAGACCTGGCGCATGGCGTTGGCATTTATCCACGAGGTGAAATATGAAAGTAGGAAGCGGTATTTTGGTCTTTCGCCTGGTCTTTTCTTTCTTGTTGGCTGTTGCCTATGGACGCTCTGGACCATGTCTGCCCAATCGTCAGCTGAGGACCGCCTGAAGAAGTCCAGTACGTTATGGGAATCGACTTTGCGCAAGAAAAACTCTTCGTCATGGAAAGTGGGGGAAATGAGGCTGTACCTGCAGCTGAAAGGCGAAGACGACTCTGGAAAGAAAGCTGACCTGCAAAAGAGGTGAGACACACAAAAAAACTTGTCCTCTGTGTAATGATGCAATAAAAAATTGATATTACTCCTGAAATTGCTGTGGGAATAGTTTCCAAATAATAATAAAATGCGCAATAATATTATTAAGAAATGGTTTGCTCCCCACACCGGAGCTCGCGCTATTCCGCGGAATAGCGCGACGCGAGCTCCGGTGTGGGGAGCAAACCATTTCTTACAAATCATCGCCGAAGTCGCAACCACTACTTCGTAATAATATTATTATCAATTCTTTGTTGCCATCTTCATTAGGTCCGTCAAATAGTAGTAATAGGTTTTTCATTTGACCCGACGAGACCACGCGACGCTTGCAGACCACAGCACGAACAGTTCACCAGCCACACTCCACGAAAGCAAGTAGTGTTACTCCTGACAAGTCTTGTTTCGTTCCATAAAGTTGACGGGGAACTCATCAGAGGAGAAGCAGTTGTTGAATGAAGGGGTTAAGCTGAATAATGCTATTTTATAGAGAAGATACCGGCGCAAGGTGTAAACACTCAACTAACTCATATTATGTGACAAATCAACACAAAAGGAATAGTGCAGAATGGAGGTGTTATGAACCCTACCAAACACAACAATCACAAGTGCTAAATCAATCACAATGAGAAGGAGAGGTACACAGGAATAGATTGCGCTAATTTACACGTCACAAAGAGTACTGAGGTGGTGACAAAGATAGGTGAAAAGTAAACGCCAAGTGAAAGCCAACAAATCATCACGGACGTCTAACGTCACATCTGAAGATTGCTAACTGCACAAGACAAATACTTCACGAACCTCGATAATTGAAATTCAGCCAACGCTAGGTGAAAGGAAGGCTGCTGCGTGTGACATAGAACTGTGATCTGCTGCTCGGAGTATAGCGTTAGACGCCAACCCTGCAGTCAAGATTTGGATGGATACGACTATGGACGGTGGAGCTGTGGCAATGCATCGACATGAACGGCTACGCATGCATACGGTGTACATACTTATATTGTCAGTGTACATAATGTCTAGTGTTTTATTGCCAGTGTACAGAACATGAAAGAGGCTCACAGAAGCAAACACTGGGACAGACCATCATGAACCTGTCAGTAACTGAACGCATTGAGCAGTAACGGTGCAGCAAGAAATGGAAGGAAGCTATGTAATGAGCTGATCACCAAAATCGGCAACCACACAGCAAGCCAGAAATATGGCATCAGCAATGTCAAAGTGAGCGGATAGAATAAAATCCAGGATGTGAAAGTTCTTTATTCGTTCGATAGCACGTTCTACATGAACGCGTAGCGAGGCAACGCGGCGGGTCTGCACCAACTCCTTTTCGGTCAGCTGTTGGCCATTCTTGATGAACGGTGGTATGTTGACATAGGCACCCCGTTCTGAGGTAACAAGAAACAAGAAGCACAGTTTATAAGCTTCCAAGCAAAACTTGCTTACACCACCATTTCCAGCATTGACTGCACTACACATCTACTGTAAGGAGGAGTTCACAGCACTGATCGCAACCATAAAGTATTGTTCACCAAAAGGAAACAAAACAGGGGACATACCTTCACAGAGTTCCTTGATTGTGAATCCTTTGTCCGCCATGACTGAGTCACCTTTATCCAGCAAATCCAGCACTCCACACGTCTTGGTGATTTCACGGTCAGAAACTGACCCACCATACAGGGAAGAGATGAACGAGATAGCTCCACTGGGTGTGATGCAAACTAGAGCTTTGAATGTGTTTCTATTCTTGTACGTTGACCAGGTGACTCTCTGAGTGTCGGGGTCGGAGGGAATCTGGATGGAGAACTCGGTGCAATCGATTATAGTGCGTGTGGTGGGGTATAGGTCGCGGAACTTCTGGGGCATAGCGGCATCGATCTACAGGTTAGTAGATAGAACATGGGCACATAGCACACACACACACACACCAATGGGACTCAATTCTCGAAAGACCAGATCAAGCACAGACACTGATGCGATCGTATGTAAGGTATACGTTAGGAAAAAAATAAACCAGCCCTATTGCAATCCAAAAGGCTGGACTCACTAACGACCAGTAATGGGTTAGGATTCAGCTGTTGAGCCACGGGCATATCATCAACAGACATAAATCATTCTGGCATGACAACTAACCTGCGCTCTAGACGGCCAGGCGGGTAGCTGTGCGGACTTGAAGGCGTGGTACATGACCATAAGGTACGAGGTGAAGATGCGGCTCACAGTACCTGCACTGATTGAAAACCTCTGAGCCAGGTCTTCGTTAGGACAATCCAGCCGCAACTTCATGAACGTAAGGAGCAGGCTGTTTTCATCGTCCAAGGCCCTCACACACTGACTTTGCCGTTCACCTATGCAGTGGGCACAGTACATTGAACCGAGACATGTATGACATGGCCCACGAAAAGAAGTTTGATTTGCCAGGAGGATGGAGACTCACAGCACTGAGTATGGAAATTATGGTACCGACACAAGTAGGTTCCGTACTACTGAAGTCATTCCATCCTACAACATTGAAAAGCACAGTATTTACATCATCAAAATCTAGCACAGAGCAGATAACATCCTCACCTGTTCTTGCTCCATTCCATAAGGTAAGAGCCCCTTGCAGTGGGGCTCCAGGAAAGCCACCAATGCCTGAAATTGCTCATAGCTGGGGATACCAGTATAGAACTTGGTGAGGCTGTCACTGTTGCAAATCCTGGCGACAGAAAACTCTGGTGCTGGTACTGTGGCAATTTCCTCCAACTTGACTCGCAGTGCCTCATTCTCCTGTGTCAACTTCTGCACCTCCATCCGCAACCGTGTGTTCTCCTCCAAACATTCCTGGATCTGAGTTCGCACTTCACTGATCTGCTCATCAACGCTGGACAGGGATGGTGATGGCTGCTCCTCACAAGTGCTTTCACATGTTTCAGGCTTCGCTGCTGACGGTTGGGGCGTTTTGTCCTGATGTGTCTTCAGGGCCACTCGTTCTTTTGGCGTTTTCCTCGTCTTCTCTGCTGCTGACCACGCGAACAGCGTTGGGATAGGATGCTCCTTGGAGCGCTTTCCGCCAACAAAATGAGCGCCGCAGACCCTTGTCGAGCTGCCCACAACCACACTCGATGTCCGCATGTTGTGGAGCCACTTTTTGAGTGTAGGCTTCTTTCCCAGCGGAAGACGGTGAAAAGAAAGCTTTGTTCCATCTTTCCGCTTGCCACCCCGATTGGAGCAGCCAAAGACGCAGCAAGACCTCGTCATCGTGTCTAAACGACTACAACAACTTCCTCCACAGTCGACAGATAACCTGAACCTAACTAAACCAAAATGTAAGTTTGTTCTTTCTTCAAACAACGAAGCCCAAAAGGTTTTGCCACCCAATTTGAGCTTCCCGCGCGATGACGTAAACCAATGATGTCACTTGCCCTTGTGTGTACAACGCCTATTAAGAGATAGTGCAATACAATTTTTTCTCCCACTGAACACAAGCCTCCTTTACGGGCAAACAGAACACAATTCAGGGTGGCATTGTGAATGACTAAAACGAAACACTAAAAAAGGAAAACAAATGTATGTGTAAACGAATACAAACAGCCTCAAGTACTTGCAACTGACTAGCATACCGTGAGCGACCCAGAACAGAGAAACTAAAGTTATCATGTTTATACGAGAACAAAATAAAGTGGAAAAATAGAATGTAGGAAGGTGAGACAATAGAAGTGAAGTGAGAGCTAAGTTCAAAGAGGGGTGAGAGACTAATGGCAACGCTAGAACTGTGTAGTGAGACAAACAATCATGTTGTGCACCTACGAAAACAATCTGAATGCAACTACATGTTTCTTCTGCTTACAAAGATCAGGCTTGTCCAAACGAATACAAACAGCCTCAAGTACGTTCAACTGACTAGCATACCGTGCCCGACACAGAACAGAAAAAAACTAAAATCATCCAAGAGGAGTATTTTGGATACATGTACTGCCATTAATACGTGTCAGTCATCCAAAAGCTTCATCAAAGCAGTTTTCCAAAGGAAAACAAATGGTGCCCAATGGGACAGTGCTGCCCTACTGAGGCGTTCAGATTGGCATGAATCCCGTTATCATACCCTAAAGGGCCTCGTCAAATGGTGCACTAATAAGCTGTAAAGGATGTTGTCTACATGTCTTGGATTTGATGACTTGGAGATTAAACTGCCAACCACCCATAAAGTTAGATGAATCTAGCAATTTTATAATGCATTTCACACCGTCTCCAAGCCGTAACATCATTTTGTACCTTCGAATGAGTTCAAGTGCTTCTTCATCCGTGGTAAGCGATGGCGAGCAACAGCCAGTGAAGCAAATGGGCTCTCCTCGCACTAGATGGGACATTGCTTTGTTGAACTGCTCATGGTGGCTGGAGATTGACAATGTCTGTATAAAGGTTGTATCTTGCCTTGGTATCATCAACATCCGCGTTTGCCGCTTCCTCATGGCAGTTTGCAAATCTTCAAACATCTTGCGCTCGGTTAGGGCGAGATTGAGGAGACTTTTGTCGGACAACTCATTGACGATTTTATCGAAAATTATCCCAAACTCGTCTCTGGACACTGCCAAAATACACACAGGTTTTTCCTCCTGATCATTGTCGGAAGAGTCACTGGCGGCTTTGACATTGGTTTCAGACGAAGTGGAGACACCAGCAACACACTGACTACATTTAGTATCACAGCACTCTTTCTTTTCAAATTCAGCCATATTTACTAAAGCAAAGAACAACATTAACTGTACGCGAACACCCTGATCGCTTCTCAACCTGGCGAAAAGTGAACATGGATTTCAACATCATCTACCTAGTACATAATTATACAGTCACTAGGTGGCTACATGATTCGCACGCTTCGCGTGCTCAGTGCTTCTGCGCGCGGCTGCTACTGCTACTCGTACTGATCGTGTCTGCTACCACCTACACTGTTCGCACACTTCGCGTGCTCAGCACGTGGTGGTGGCTACACGATTCGCACGCTTCGCGTGCTCAGTGCTTCTGTGGCTGCTTCCGCTAGCTACACGATTCGCACGCTTCGTTCGCACGCTTCGCGTGCTCAGTGCTTCTGCGGCCGCTAGCTAGCTACACTGTGCTACACTGTTCGCACGCTTCGCGTGCTCAGGGCAGCGCTGCTCCGCAGCGCTTCAGCGTGACACAAAAACACACGTCACAGGTGCCTCTTCTTTATAAGGAGCGTGACACACACACACACACACACACACACACACACACACACACACACACACACAGACACACACACACACACGTCACAGGTGCCTCTCTTTTATAAGTAAAGATGTACATGTACACGCAATCTGCCGACAGAACTGTTTCGTCCTTTGTGGACTCGTCAGCGCAGCACAGAGGAAATGAGGCCGAACCTGATAGCAATGGAAATAAAAATTTCCAATCAGGTCCGAACGTGTACATGTACACGTGGGACGGCATGACTGGTGCTTTACGTGTGTCTAGCTGATGATGTTGGTTGTGCACAAAACTCATCCTGCTGCGTAGGACAAGTAGTACTTTCTCCCCCAGGCGCGATGACGTCATATCCAAATGAACGCAATTTGTTGGATGGCCACGTGTTCGCCTTGCGTACAGTTAAGTATCTTTAGGCAGGCATGGTTAGTTGATTTTTGTGTTCTGAGCTAATAGAAGTACTTGCTCTGAGTGCTCGGTCTTTCCTCTTGATTGTACAACGCGGTATAAGTACGGAATGAGAAAACAATGCTCCTGACTACAACCACTAGTCAGTTGGTAGAGGTACGGATTTGCCCACGCATTTATGTAGTGCATGTAGGGATAAAATGTAAGGATGCTGCCACGCCACTCAACAGGCCGCCATGGCCTTCAATTTCTGTGGTAGCCAAGCGTATTTCGGTAAAAGGTCACGTTGCCACTCGTCAAACCCTCAAGAGAGCACCACTCCCTGCTCACTACACTCCCCTTATTCATGGCTCACACATGACGGGTTTACGTGGCTCTAGTAAAAACAAAACAAAACAAAACTGCACAATGTGCTGGGAAATCACTGTCTATCAGTTGAGCTTCAGTACTAGGCTGATGATGATTGTGCATGAAGGGCACTACTTATATTCTTAGTAATCTACCGACCAATCCATCACCAGGGTTACAAACTTACAAAGACGGTGCGTTTCCAGGGCGACACACGTCGTGAAAATAACTTCACAAGATGACAGCGTGATTCAGTGTCGCTAATGGATACGTAGAACAGATCCTGATCCTGAGGACCGGCGGTCATTCTCAAAACTGTCATCGCCAAACAAACTAGCGCCAATCCTGCGCTGGGCACGGTAGTCCAATGAACTAGTTACTTGCGGCAGCGACCTCAATGATTGTATTGATTTAGAATGAAGTAGGTTGCTCCAACGCCGGATATCACGCTTTTCTCGCGGACCTGATTTGACAGTGAGAGCTGTCTTACAGGTTTGCCGAGTGGTAGGTGGTGGAATGGACTGATAGTGTGCTCACCAGGCTATCCGTATCAAAAGCCGAAATCAGGACAAACTCAGTGACCTGCACCACCGCGACTGGTTACGCAACTTTTCACCGTACCTGTGGCTTACCATGTCGTCAGAAATGACGTAGTGCACGAATTACGCTCCCACAGGAACCATCCCGAGTTGCACATTCCGGTTTACAGTGTGTGTACTCTTGGTACTACTGAGAACTTTGACTTTATTTGATAACAAACCCGGATGTCGGAATGAAGAATTCAAAAAGCCGAAGCAAAGACGGCAATGGTGACAAATCCAATCAAGTATATTGTAGATAGGAAAATCAAATCAAATAAATAGGTAAATCCAATAAGAAAATAAAATAAAAGAATCCTATCAACTAGGGAATACCAAAACAAAGAGTAAACCCGCATCCGCAAACACCATCCAAGCAGCACCGTTTACCCAACTCATCCAACAACCCAGACAGGAGAAAACCAGATAAGGTACACAAAGAAAACGAGTAAGTCAACCACCATATACATGTAATAGCAAAATTGCTACAACAAAAATACAGACAATAATAAAACAGTTAGGTCAGGCTAAACAGCCATGTGAGCACGGGCTCTGCACTCCACCACAAAACCGCCAAGACCAGCACCCATGAGCCTTCTGCGGTACGAGTGTCGTGAACCCCGCAGGAAAGCAATTATTTGCCAGCGAATCAGACAGCAATAGCAACACTACACAAAGTGAAGAGTAGTTGGCAGATGTGACTCCGAAGGATAGTTGGCCGCAGCCAGATGTGAACCGGATAACGAGTGAGGTATGGAAGCAAGGACTGAGAACAGAGTGTCTCAGATAGAATAGGCATGCCAGTGGATAGCAGAAATAGGCCATGATGCAGAAGCATTTGGGACCGTCAGATTAAATATTCTGGACCGAGCCAGCCGGGAAAAAACCCTCGCGCCGACGGACGCAGTTGTGAGGGAAAAAACCGGGTGTATATCCCCAATGGCGATTAGGCATCATGTAGGCATGGCAAGCACATCACGGCAAAAATTGATAAAAAAAGCAATGATAATATGCACAGAAATGAAGGCTGCGTGGGCAGGGACACTGGTGAGACTCAAAACTGACTGAAGAAGTCAGGAAAAGAAGCGACAATAAAGAACACAGCAGATGCCATATTTGCAACTTAAAAAATTTCGCGAGAAATCATTTCTCGCCTATCTCGCTGCGCTCGGCCGGCGAGAAATACAACGTTTTTGCCACACACGCATGATGTTGGCAAACCTTCCAAGGGAAGGCCATTATCGTAGGCCCACCGCATCACGGAAATCCGTCCTGCTGAAAACGGTCCCAGGCATTGTAGTTGCAGGTGGAGTCGTCAACCAACTTGAGACACCATCTTCACCTGCGACCTCTACCAGTAGCCGTTGCGTGGGCAGGAGGCCGGATCGGATCTCCTCTGCCAAGTTCCGCTGCTGAACACAGCGCGCCGCCCGAGCACTTGCAGCGAATGTCCTGCATGCTGTTGCCACAGCCGACACCTCATGCGTAGAGATGCCACCGACTACCAACTCCACCATGAGTGCAATGGCGTCTCGGCACAAGGGAAGACCACCAAGCTTCGCTGGAAGGGAAAGC